TAAAGCATGGTGAAGCACGTCTATGCCGTCGTCGAGGTCGAGACTGGAGACAATATAACCAGCTTCTCATAGAAACAATTAGTAAAAGTACTTTGGAGTGGCTGCTGAATCAGAGGACTGAGCACGCAAAGGAATGTGATAACATAACATAGCATAGCTTGTCCTTCCAAATGTTCTCTCTTGCTGTATCCAGACTTTATTCCAAAACCCACTGAACCTTACACGTGTTACTTTATCTGACATCGTAACTTGCGCGCCAGATTCGTTCATTTCTTATGCCTTCAGAATGTCCGCCTTCTCCAAAACATGTATCCTACTTGTACTTCCCAAGCAGCAAATGGATTCACAAAAGGTCCACACTTTCGGACTACATACCTAGGATTCGATCATCTGTTGATTCCTCACGACCAGTTCTAAACATGCATATGAGATGCACGTTCGTCATCTAACTAGTTCGACAGTGGACAGGTAGACAAGGCGACTAACAAGACGTATACAACTTAAACACATATATATGACAACACAACTGGCAGGAAGATTATCAACTGTCCTTAATTAGCAGATTCGTGTCACTGGGGTGTTTCGGAAAGGCAAAGAATAGTAATAATACACCTAACCGAGTTGGTCGACACCCACAATGGACCTCAGATTAATTACTTCGTTATCTGATTTATTTTTTGGTTGGCTCAACCAACTTTGCTATATGGTTTTACGGTTGAATGGGGTGCCTAAGATATGTAACTGTTTCATTCTGACTCTTGCGAAGTCATTTCTATAGACTGCAATCCTAAAAGGGGAAAACGTGAAAGGAAGAAAAAGCAACTAAGGGTTAGGCTGAAAAAAAAAAAGGCTCAAAATGTAACTATTAAAAGATCTACAGAGATAGTAAGTAAGTAAGGTTTACTACACCAGGACATCACACACACACACCAAGTGACACCATGCGGATGAGGATCACCCGTGGAGAGGTCCCAGAAATCCCATTCAACCGTGATGTTATATCAGGGCCTCCGGCAAGTCTGCCTCACAAGATCCACAGGATAAACTTAGCTTGGATGATGAAGTTGAAGCTTCATATCCAAAATGACTCAGGTATGCTTTAGCTGTTCCAATTTTTTTAAATACCCAGTAAAAGCCTTTTCCTATTGTTATCAGACCGAATTTTATTGTCAAGATAGCATTTAAAAAGTCAAATTTTATCCTGTTTCTTAGGTTAGATTTGATAAATTCACTCCAAATGGAAAACATCTACCATCTAAATGCAAGGGAAAACATCTACATTTGGATATAAAACATCCAAAGTGGCAACACTACCCCTAATAGCTTCGAGTGGCTGTGACCACTGGAAAGATCTGTGGAAGGAGGGATAGAGGAAGACAACAAGAGAAGATTCTGACAGTCTTGTTGCATGGCATGGAGGTGTGTCAGCACCGAACTGATACATGCTGCAGGAGATCGCAGATTGTAGAGAGGCATGATCGCCCACACCAGGGCACCTGCTGATGACAAACTGCTTCACACTGTTAAAAAAAAAGTACAAACTAGTTTGATTTCGCTGCTTATGCCGTCTCTCTGTGACCTAGACGAGCCTGCTGAGGCGTCACGTCACAGGCTTACACAGCGGCCTTTACCATCCTCATCAACTTTTGAGGAAAGGGGGGGGGGGGCGGGGGAGAAATCGTCGCATTCAACCAGCATTCGTGAAGAGGAAGCTTTAGGTTATAATTGTGACTAGGTTATGTGCGGCACATAAAATGGCTTCGCAGTGCACTCTACCAAAAATCCTCCGGCAGTGCTAATTCGATCAAAGCAGACGGACCCAAATACTGTCCTGATTGGCGATGAACTCTTATACCGGTTAGCAAATGGCTGAATTCTTCCAATAATGCGTTGTCCCCATGTGGGATGCAATTACTTATTTTGAAGCAACTTTAGTCAGGGGCCCTAAATATAGCCGGGCCTCCAATGTGACCTGGCGGTTGAACGCGGTTTCCGGGACCTCGCCATCTATGGTGTCCGCCTCGAGTGCTAGAGCTTCCGGATTCAATCCCTGGTAAGTGCTGGGATTTTTTCATGTGGACTTGGGACTTCCAGTAATTTCCCCTGGTCTCTGGGTAGTGAGATCGGACGCCCGTGTGCATTGTTGCGCATGTAAAAAAAAAAATCCCTCGGCAGCTGGAAATCGAAAAAAGTAGCCTAACGGCACTGCCCAGGCAAAAAGTTAACAAATTTACCCAAATTATTTCACGATCCTCGCCGGAGCTACAGAGCCCGTGCACAGCTTCTTCAGACAACGAGCTAGAAGAGGTACAGAGCACTTATGGGTTACTACCGGTGTGCTTGATACTGATCCATTGTTCAAACTTCAATAGATGCACTATCCCCGCCAAACATCTGAGCATACAATGCAGGACTAAAACACGACCAGATACGTCCAGGACAAACTCTGGGGAACCCCTGGAGACTTGCTGCTGCCGTCCCAGTTCATAGAGGCAACACGGCTGACAACCTGAGCATGTGAAACCAATCTCAAAGAAGAACTGACTGACTAGGTCGAGAGCAAGTCACAATGAAGTGTTTTGAGAAGCAGCGGTCTTCACGCTCATCAGCTGTTAACTGGTGGAAAGTTATAGTTAGACTTGTCTCAGGATTTGTCTTGAGTGCTCTGCTGTTTTACAGATCTGGCTAATGTGTATGCAGACCCAGTTCCTCACCTCGCAGGCAGATGTACTTCAACTACCAATGAAACAACCGTTTACGACGTTTATTTCTTACTGCGTGGCGGTGTAGTGGGTCTACCCCCTCCCCCTCAGAAGAGGGGCCAGGGAACTTACTACACAAAGCTAAACATTGTCTACAGATCTTCTTAACAGCTGCAAGCTTATTTCCTGGAAACCCAAGCATCTGATAGAAAAACCCCTCCATACATACACGACCAGGAACCCACACGGGTTAACAGTAGTACATCTACATTTTCTTGGAGATGAGGGTTCACACTGCTCCATTAGGAGATAAAGAGATCAACAAAACAAAACGCAGCATATGTCATCTTTCCAGTAGAAATCTGAACCTTTTATTAAACATCTGTAATCAATTCACACATATCTCAGATTAACCTGACAAGGTTACGTTAATACCGTGAAATGGTTAGCTCTAAAAAACTTGAAGTCAACTGACTGTGTTAAGAAAACCTACAAAGTAATTCACATTTGTGTTGAACTGCACTAATAATAATAAAGTGTTAGTGAATTAAAAAAAAAAAAAAAAAAACTAGCCTGACAGTAGGTAATTCTCCCTACATAAAGATACTGTAATGCAATATGACTTGGAAAACACCTGGGAACAGTGGATATGAAAGTTTGAAAGCCTTGTCAGTCTTACATCTGAGAAACAACCGAGAGCCAAATGGTGGTGGTGATGTAGTCACTTCCATGTTGCCTGGAGGCATCCACCTACTGATGACAGGCTGGCAGAAAAGAGGTCTCCAACAGTCCAATTAGTTCAGGGTTATCCATCTAAATGACTGGGTGCAAGAAATCTGCTGCAAGTCTATCCCTGGTTAGGTTCTACCAACTGCAAGAGAGTCTGCCAGTAGACATCACTACAGAACAAACCCTACCTTTGACCCTTTATCTACCAAGGAGGAACTGGCCTTTACAAGTCAACTTATCTTTGCCTCTTATTCCCATGGGAAATGGGCGTTTTTAAGACAACAAATCTTTGGCACTGCTTAATTCCCAATGGGGAATTGGCCCCTGCGAGACAGACTAACACTAGGTTGTAACTACTGTGAGACACTGCAGTAGATGGACAAGGCAACCCATCTTCTGTCCTCTATCCCCAAAGGAGAATGGGTCTGCAAAGACCAGTTCATCCTAAGCTATGTACTCCCTACAGAGAATGTATGTTCATAAAGACACATTACTGCTGTAGTAGTCAGTGCCAAAGTAAGCGGACTCCCAGCAACACAGGCAATGGCTACAGTGTTTATATGCCGAGTTCAATGTTTGCTCCAGGAAACCCAACACATATTTTTGCCCCACTGCGTGACCTACACAGCAGACAAGGTCAGATATCACAATCAGCACCAGGTGATGTCCTCATGACCCTCAGCTAGCTCTAATACTGGATTTGTAACAACAAGCATCATGCAAAACACTAAATCATAGCTGGTCATGGACAGGCATCAATGAGGCGACTAACTGTAAGCTGTTAGATTTCATACAAGCAAAGATCTAACCACAAACATAATGCTCTCTCTCCCTTGGAAGGTATTTGCATTTCAGTGTAATCAGAAAAACACCCATGCTATCGTCAAATTTTTTCTTTAGTATACAGCTTCAGAAAGAAGCCACTTTTACAATTTTTTTTCTTTTTTTTTTCTCTTCTTAATATTTCAATGGAAAGATTTCTTTTAATGGGACACAATGTGGCAGAGGGGTGGGGGACTTACACAAAACAACAACACGTAAAAACAATCACAACACAAAGCTAAACATAGCTGTCTACTGATCTGCCCGAACAGCAGCAAGCTCTTTTCCTAGAAACCAGAGCAATTTAAACCCTCAATACATGACCTAACCTAAAGAAATCCTTCAAATAGGGCAGCCACGATGTCGCTTATCAAGCACAGAGAAAGATAGAAAAAGCACAGGGCTGATTTAATCAGACAAAAGATGCAACCTGACTGATTCAGTTTTAAAAAAAAAGTACCAATTAGATCGAAGAAAAATCTGAATTCCGCCATAAAAAGTATTTCTGTAAAACTGGTATTGCCGCAGCTTATCAATACAAGGATTCCGGAATGATCAAATAAATGAATACCAACGGAGTGTAGGTATCTACTCATACAACCCTTTGATGAACTGATCAATAATTGCACTGTGCAAGGAACTTATGGTCAGCCAGCCTGGACAAAAAATTACACTAGAAACGAAAGAACAACATGAAAACTGTCGTGTGAATAATAAACGGTTTGACAATCCCAACTCAGTGGCCGCTCAACAATCGCTACAGCTGCCACCGTCAGTGCTTTCGCTGGAGGATGATCGCTGGCGTTTGGTTTTGCCATCAGCTTCCTCATCACTGTCGGATTCGTCCAGCTCAGAGTCCCTCTCAATGGTGTAGGCCATATACAGGAGATCCTGGCATGGACTGACCACCAACTGGTGACCAGGCGGCAGAATCTGGAAGCCAAAGAAGTTGAATACTCGCAGCAGGGACACTGTAAATAAAGACATTCCGGTAAATAAGAACCAGCTCTCAATCCTCAATATTACATGTAAAAATCGAGGAAAAGCATCCTTTCATAAAGAGTGGCAAGCATCACTTTATGCAGCAGGTAGTGATGACAAGGCCTAGGGCAGAGAATCGATGCCTTAGTCCACTGAGTGGAGTATGTTGTGAGTCTGAAGATGTTAGATGGTTGATGCTGCCGTAAGGATCAGGGCCAGCCATATATCTGTAAACCTCTCTTCCAGTGTCTTCCATGGCCCATCTGTTCAGCCAAGTCTCTTTTATTGCTCTTTTTAGTGCTTCTGCTATCTCTAGGTGGTTCTCCATTCTTAGCCAATCTTGTCACTACCTAGCGTGCCAGAGTGACCTGGAATCCACTGCATCACTATTCTGATGTGTGATGTAATGAGCTGATCAGCATCCAGAATTATCTTGGCTATGTCAGTTCTGCAGCGTTCACTGCCCTCCAGAGCTTGAAGGGCAGACATTGAATTGGTGAAGATAATATTTTGGGCCTTTGAATGGTAAACATCCATTAGTCTTTAGGTGGCATACTGCAGTTTCCAGTGTAATTATTTTGGCTTCATAATTTTAGCCGAATTCCCCGCATGCATCAAAATTCTCTTCAATATATCAATCAGGATAACCTAACCTATGTAGACTCTGTAACATGCTTTAGTGATAGATAACTCTAAATGCAGATCCACCACTAGAAACATGTATCAATTCTTCGGGATAGGAATCAATGGCCTTTAGCAATACGTTCATTAGGGCGATTGGGGCTGACTTGTTTTCTTCGTCTGATCCGCACTTATAGAAATGTCTCACGTGATATGTCTGGAATTTGCATACCTCCCAAAAGAAAAGTGAATCATTCAGAAGAACAGAAAGGTGCCAACAACCCAGGTCCTACATGATGAACAAGTTTACAGCAGCAAGGTAGATTAAGATTACCATGTGCTAATAAAATTGTTAAGTATTGGAAAGCATATTGTAACAAAGCAGAGTTATGTCTGTATCTGATGCAAATTATCGTTAATTCATTATGCCTGTGCCATTTTTTTAATAACTACTTAGGACAGCAATTCCCAAACTCTCTCTCTCTCTCTCTATATATATATATATATATATATATATATAATATAAAACAAGTGCCGCGACTTAAGAGTTTGGGAAACACTGACTTAGGACAAGAAACAATTTTAAACAAATCCCTAAGAGGTAGCAGATTTGGCTGGCAGATTAACAGAATTTAGGGGGGCTGCATGGTCTCGAGGCATGGTGTCCGCCTCAAGTGCTAGAGGTTCTGGGTTCAATCCCTGGTAAGGGATGGGATTTTTTTTTCACGTGGACTTGAGCTACTAGTAATTCCCCTGGTCTCTGATTGGACGCCTTTATGCATTGTTGCGCACGTAATGAAAATCCCTTTGCAGTTGGAAATAAAAAAGGGTAGCCCGACTCGATTCATAAGAAAACAGAGCACTCATGGGTTACTTCTTGTGTGGATGATGCCGATTCGTTTTTTTAAACCTCAATTCTCTCATTAAAAGGATTTGCAGCGATTCATGTCAAGACGTCTTAAAAATGCCAAAAGAGAATGGAAAACATTTAAAACAAAAAACCCATAAAAGTACATGAAACAATAGTGAAACAAAGACTACTCAAGTCAGAGCCAACAAAATGAATACAGAAGCTCATGAAGCTAGGTGCAGATAAATGTATGCTACCACATTGGAGTCAGTGCCCGGCAACTCAAACCCTCATCCAATTGTTTAAGGAAGACACCCACTAGACTCCACCATTTAGCTGTTTGAAAGGAAATGGAACTTACCACGGTCAGGCCTGTTCTTGTTGAGGCAACAGACGACGTGCTTGCACTTGAGTTTTTCTTCGGCATACTCCAACAGCGTCACCAAACTGAAAAGAATGCCTCAGTGAGCTCGACTACTTTTTTAAACATAAAGTACATTTATCACGTGGAGCTGCAGCGGTAACGCCGTTAGACGATTCATCTGCAGCCTGGTTCAAGCCTTCAAAGTGAATCCACATCAAACTGGATGTGTTACCAAAAATGGTCCTGGCTCCCAGATTGATCCAGCCCAATAAAGGTACCAGGTAGTCTTGGGAAGTAAACACACACAGTGTGATCTTAACCACATCACCCCACTGAGGATCAACTGTTCAAGCATCAAATGCCAGAAGCACTGCAGGCATTAAAAGGGTCCAAGAAAAAAGGTAAAAGAATAACCACCTAATTTTCACTTACAGTCCCCAATGAAGTAAATAGTCAGCTCACTTCCCCCCTTTAGGACATTCAAGCTGCAAGTCTGATAAAAATGAACCCTGAGGAAACACCTATTCCAGCACATGCCACACAAGCGCTCTTCAATGGTGTCCCATGTTTGTTTTAGCATCGCTCCTGTGAGTCCGGGTTTCTCCAACAGGTAAAGTCTGGACCATCTTATAGGAGAAACAACAACTGGGCCTGATCCTAGCCGGTCTATGCTGAATCATGGAACTGATTACTTCTACCCGTTTGTCCACCTCTGAACTGTAGTCTTGTTCAGAACACGAGCTTTGGTTCCTTGCATTTTACCCTAGTTTATCTGTAGGCAGATCCCAGGCAGATGGACTATGACTAAAGGATACCCCAAATTAGTCAACTCCTTCAAAATCTTGGGTGGGCAGTGGGTTTTTGCACCCCCCCCCCCTCCCCGAATTCAATGGGGCACCGAACCCACAGGGAGGACCTAAATAAATCTTGTATGTCTCTGAATATGTGAATTTCCAGCGCTATATTGGCTTTTGAGCCTTAGGACAAGCTTGCAACAATAACAGTGTTTGGTACCACCATGTGGCAAACAAAATATTCTAGCCACATTCACCTGCTCTCAAAGAAAGGGGGGGGGGGGGGGGTGGGTGGTGTGTGTGTGTGTGGGGGTGGGGGGGGGGCGCGCTCCTTCCTCACTTCTTTCAATCCTTCATACACTGGGGGAGATATAAGGTTGTTCTTGCTCTTCTAGCTGCCTTTACCACGAACACATCATACTGTTGTAGAGTTTCTCTGATGTTATCTCTCCATCATGTTGTTGGTCAACAAATTTGTTTGGGGGGGCATTTGCCGTTATGGCACAAGACATTCTAAGTGGGCGAAATGTCTGATTTGCTGTCTGCGTATGTAATTTAGTTGTTCAGTGCCGACCTTCTTTATGACCATTTCTGATCTTACTTCTGGTCACTCCTGCAGCTCTTCTCAGATATCTCATTTTGATGGTTACTTTCTTGTGTGGTTTGTTGTGTGTGATCATGTCTGATACAGGTAGCTTACAGTGGGAATGAATGTTTTGGATGAGATGATTGTGCTATCAGGACTGTTTTATGCTGGTACAAAGAGGGCTAGCTGTCTTAATACTTGACTCCTGACATCCAACCCAACGGCTGGGATAATAACTCGATGAGTGCTTCAGGGTTAGTTCCATGAGCCATAACTAGGTTTACAATGCATTACGTAAACGTGGACTGACAATTTCAACACTGGAGATGACATCCATTAATCTGAGATAATTTTGAGATAAAATTTGAGATAATCACCTTTCCTTAGATCCCTCGGGTAGTATTCCTGCAGGAAGTTCTACGTACAATACATCATTCAGCAGACGCGTCTCCCAGGAAACGGTAAGTCCTGCTACAGGCGAGATCTTGAAGGTCAGGTTGGATGCAGTCTGGTGAAAAAAATATATATGTTGTGTCAGATCCCTAGTTAAGAGTGGCAGGTAAAATAAGCACGTCTATAAATAAAATCCCTAATTAAGAGTGTCAGGTAAAATAAGCACGTCTATGAATAAAATTCCTAGCTAAGAGTGTCAGCCAGATGGGCGGATTTCATTTGTAATTTTAAAAAACAATGGAGATACTGAAATACAACGAATTGAAACATTTAAGTAACTCCTTTGTTCACAGGCCAAGCTCCAACGGGAAGCCCTGGTGGTTCGTCCATTTGGATTGTAACTTTGTGCCAGGGCCTGAGTACTTCTGTTTGACTGGCTTACTTGTGTGCAATTGGTTTTCCCTTGCCACCTTGACAGAGACTGAATCAAGTCGACTCTTACGACAAGCTTGTTGGGAAAACCGTCGGTCTATTCTTGTTTTCTCCCACAAAGAGACGCCAGAACCCACACGTGGATTTTTTTAAATTTTTTAAATGCTCTAAAAATGATAAAATACTTTATATCTTTGTAAATACCAAAGCGAGGGCTTCTGGGTGAGAAGTCAATGATTAACTACTGTAAAACATAGCACTTCACAGAAGACTTTTTTTGCTGCTCATCCTTGGGTTGAATTTTTGTACAGCACCTCACAGAAGACTTTTTATTGCTCATATGTCACGTTTTTCAACCCGTTCTATTCCTGACAGATGCAAGAATGGTACTTCAGGCACCTGAATCTGGAAAATTACCAGGTTTACAGAAACTACTCTCTCAAATGGGCAACAGGTGTAAGGTAGCAATGCAATGAATAACATCCCACTGTGGAGTTTCCGGAAATGAAAGGGCTGATAACCTAGCAAAGAAAGGTGCAAATGAACAACTTGATGTACCAGTCTTTAAACAGAAGAAGAATAAATAAATCAGAAGTCACCAAAACAGGGGGGGGGGGGGGGGGGTGTGGAGAACCAGTTGTCTTAAATGGACAGATCAAGTCATTGTTCTACGCCTCAGAAAAGGACACAGTTGACTTCGCAGCCACATGTACTAAATGCACACAAAAATTAAGATTGGCAAAGCAGCCATGTGAATATGTGGATTAGCACCCGAGACAAGAGATCATGTCCTTCAAGACTATCGCAAATACAACATTTCAAGGCAAAACTTTTGGCTAAGAGAAACACTGGTACAAGCCAAACTTTATGGGTCGCTGACTTATTACAACAGACAGTGAAGTTCATACTAGAGACAACATTGCAGATTATTTCAAGCCAACGAAAGAAGAAAATAAAGTGCAAACCTGTGCAGCATTCTTCTTAGCTGAGTTGTTCATGTCAATCAGAAAATTATTCACACTGACAGGGGGCGCTTTTGTAACCCCCACGTCGTTGCCCTCTGCCAAATCTGTCCGGCATTCTGGAGCGACGTGGGGAACATCAGGACCACCACAGAGGCCCAGGGCCGAGAGATATAGTACACTCTCTACTACTTGAGCTGCCGACAGAGATTGATATTTAAATTTAGTTGCAGTTCACCGACTAAACAGCAGAAAGTTATGGTTGTTTGCCGACTCGTGGACTTCAGCTGTGCATGCCCATCCGTTATACAGATCTGGCTTTTTGTATGCAGACTGTTGGTTGCTTGCCTCTCGGACGGATGTAATCTGACTTCAAAGGAAATTACTCCTCTTAAGTCTTATACGACATGCTTGCTGGGAGGCAATGTGGTGTGGGGGTCTATTCTCCAATCTTAACTGGGCCCTGGAAACCACACCACGTATATATTTTTTTCTTCATTATCAGCATTCGACTTTCTTTTTCACTGGCTGTAATCTCCAGCAGAAAGTTCTGGTTGTTCCATACACCTCTGGACTTCAGTAGACTTGTTCCAGAACCTGAGTGTTGCGTGCACATCCATTTTATAGATGTGACTTATTTGTATGCAGACTGTTATTCCCTGCATCTCAGGCAGATGCACCCCGACTCCAGGGGGCCCCGGAACCCACTTGGGGAATCAGCATTTGACTTTAACCCTTTCACCCTCACAATAAAAAAAATATGACTTTGAAATTTTTTTTTTTTTTCAAATAAACAGATCCTTAAAATTCTATAAAACTAAGAAACTAGAGAAAGAAAACAAGTAACAAATTTTGAGTCTTCAGTTTTTCTAAAAGTTTAGGGGGTTCAAAGCTATGATCACCGAGCAGATGACCACTCCCATAGCACTATGACCCCAATCCATGACTACAGAAATAGCCGCCCCCCCCCCCCCCCTTCCCATGAAGGGAAGGAATCACAAAATACAAACGCAGCAGGAAATTAACTGCTTTCCATCTTATCAGAAAAACAAATTGTTTTGCTGACTCTGTTGCAGGAAGCAAAGCGACATAATATAGCAGTCACAATCACATCAAATTTATTTTTTGTAATAAATTTTGTTTCTATCCCAAATAATATCTAAAAAACTCCAGCAGTGACCAAACATTCCATCTAAGTGCATGTTCCAGAATCAGTATTCATAAACTCTGCTCTACTTACGTATTCAACAAGTCTTTCAATAATCACTACTCTTATGAGGGAGACAATCTAATCTATAGGTTTTCCTTGAGATTCTGCATTAGGGTAAGTAGAAAAAGGAATGAATTGAAGACCGGTAGAAGGCTGACCTCTAAGATGTGTGCAAGCTGGACACAAATGATAAAGATAGTGAGCTTGACTCTGAACAAAATGCCATGGACCATGTGTGGAAAAAGTACCTCAGGGAGGGAATGAGAATGAAGCAGATCGCAGAAAGGATGAGAGCCGCGAGCGTCTGAGAAAAAACAGACTAAACATAAATGTTGACAACAATGGTCCTGAAATCCCATGCTATAATTGTGGAAGATTCTTAACATACCGCATATCGCGGGAAATCTCCAAATCATCATCATGTAGCAGGTCTTTAGCATAACGTCGCTCTCATCACGGTCTGCCTGAAAGGAACTGTCTCTCACCAACTCTCCTGCCTCATGTATTTTCATACTCAAGGGGTCATATCCTGTGCCCATCTTCGTGTTGATTGGCGCCTGCTCCTCTTTCCTTGTACCATGCCTTCTGCTATTATTTTTTCCAATCCGTCATGGCGTTGATATGACCAAAATATTTTTGCTTCCGTGACAGGATGCTGTTTACTAGCCAATCTTCCTTGATGTTCAGATCTTTTATGATGACAGTATTTCTCTTCTTTGTCCAAGATATTCTGAGAATCAATCGATTGCATTCCGAGGGTGTCAACAGCTCCGACACAGTGCTAGGTTTAACTTCTCCCCTGGGTCCTAGGTTTAGTTTCTCCCCTGGGTCCTAGGTTTAGGGTTAGGGCAAGGAGTTTTGCAAATGCAACACCGCCACCAGAATCTGTCACAACAGTGGAACCGTGACACTATGGAGTGAACTAACGCGGATACGATGTTACCTAGGCGGCACTAGTCGTGTGCTGTTTAATGAATATTTAGCGCAGTTTCCTGGCGGCACAGTCAAAAACACTGAGTCCCTGTTAGGTGTTTTTTTAAGCCTCAATAATTTGGGACTGTTATTCGGAGGACAGCCAAAATATTTGTTATGGACCAATCAGCAGTTGACAGGCAATGTGGTCGTCGTCATGGCGGTGATCTTTTTCCCCCAGGTCATCACCACAGTACCAATTGTTTTGGCATGAGTGACCCCGGAAGCAAAGGTAAATTTAGACGACGAAATCTGCCATATTTCAGATTCAGACCATCAAGCTAGCATGTAGCCACTATGTTACAGCTCCCAGATTCTGCATTAACCATTTACAAACCCAAACAGTTGAAGCCTAATTTTTAAAAACAGCAAGACTTAAGCCTGTGCATGCTGCTGGTTTCAACAGGACAACATTTCACACAGGAAACTGAGTCCATCAACAAAGGCCTGCTATGTGGTGACATATGTGCTGTGAAGAGCTGAAACTGGCTAGACGGACACAAAAGATGTCGACCAATAACAGGGCCTCACGTGTCAATTGCGCACTTCTGGTGACTTAATTTGCGGTTTTCCGGCGGCTGCCGCCACCGCCGAGAGTATCCGCGGCATGGGGGATACTCTCGGCGGTGGTGGTAGTCGCCGGAAAACCGCTGATTAAGTTGCCGGAAGTGCGCAACTGACACGTGACTGAGGCTCTATTAGGGTGTTTTTGCGCCGTCATCTTTTGTGCCCGTTGTTCGAAAGATAGTCGGCTAGTCCCCATCTTTCTATGAGTGACAATACATTGCATAAAATCGAGACTGTACAGTCCCCACAGCACATTCTGCAGACCTGCCCACTTTACCTACAACTTTGAAAAGACACCTGGCCTCAACAGCAAAGTGTGCAGAGCAAGCTATGGGGAACCATAAAGGACCTGCTACCGACATGCGAGTTCATAGAGGCAACCCACTTGATGGTCTGATCTGAGCATACGAAACCGAACGCAAAGAAGAAAATACATTGTCTGTTTAATATAATGTAACTATATATCACTATATTAGGTTAGTTGCCGTATCCTTTACAGGATTTTGCAGAACCAACCCCAGCAGCCCCTGGCTGTTGTGTGGTTTCTCCAGGCAAATTACACCCAGTAGTTTGCTATTGCTTTCTGGATGGTCAGTTTCTTGATACCACTGTCAAAATCAACGCAAGGGGCAAGGCCCGCAGCTGGGATTGAACCCTGCACCCCAGCATTACGAAGCATTCACATTGACTTAGCCACAGAGCAACATATTACACATACAGATGATAAAATGACTTACCGTTTTATTTTACACCTAGACATGACTGTTGTCCTAAAAGAGACTTAACAGTATAACTTATACACACAAAATGTGGCTACTGCTAACAGCCTTGTTTATAAAGCCTCGACAGCTGATAGCAAAGTCAAGATAGGGCCAGTTCAGATTGGTTTTCATGTCCAAATTTATCAATTTATCTCTAGACACTTTAGACAGTACCTATCGCCACCTGAGGGTTCACACCCCCTTTTCCATCTGATTTCATTTAGTAAGATTTAGTAGTACTAACAGCTGAACTATAACGTATAAAGGTAAAGATTGTGACATATCTATTCAGAATGTTTGATAAGCCGCTCTGTATTGTAGAAAGTAGATATCATAATCCAGAAATAGACAAGTAGCGACTGTGACCTCATGGAATATTTCGGCCTATTCTCCCAGCCGCAAAAATGTCACCAGTCTCTGAGGTCTCCAATCATGAGTGGACCACAGGGTTTCATCTTTTGAACCGCTGACTAGTCCTCGCCAAAAACTTCTGCTAGATATGGCAAAAACTAATATGGTTATATTTTCGAGCTGCAAATAAAAAAGGTACACTACAAGTTACGAATCAAACGTCCTGGTCTAATTGATCCCCATCGCCTGTAGAACCAGAACTGTGTCAATTCTCCGCCATGTTGGACTGGTCGCTTGAGCTTTGCGTGTGTATAAAAAGCATGAATTTTACGTAAATATAGCACACAAAACCACTTACTTGTTTTCCTTATGTAAGGCTGGCATGTTTTCTTCTTCTTCTTTCTCCTTCGGACCAAAATTCTCGTCGATAACGATGGCGTCACCAAAAAAGCAGACGTTTTTGTTCTCGGTCACGTGACCCGAGTTCAGAAATGTTCGTGCGTGCGTGCGTTGAACTCAAGAGCCCAGGGATCTCTCCAAACACCTTACGTCATGGACACTCACTCAACTTTGTAAATTTTGGTAACGGGCTGCAAGAATTGGGCGAAGTCCATACCTGACAAAAAGTAAAGACACCACAAGTTGTAATGAACAGCAAGGGAAGGATCTGGCGAGGCACCTAAGCATGGACCCCCATTGAACTTTCTAGAATTCATGGT